GATCCCGATGGGGGATCACCTGAACCTCGCGAGGCGGATCCATGGGACGTGGAGGAGGTGGCAAGCCAGAGCCTCCACGAGGTGGGAGGTCGTTAGCTGTGTCATTTTCTCTCCGAGCAGACGCCTCAGGAGGATCTTGTTGGCTACGTGATCTGGTTTGCATCGTTCCCACAGACGGCGCCAAAATGATGATGCTAAAATATAGCTCACCTAGGGTGGTGTAGAAAATGAGCTGGGAGAGCAAAGCAGATCAGTAGCTTAACAACTTGATGATCCTGAGGTCCCTGCAAAATGAGCACACATGAACTACGCCGGGGGTTGATCCGGCGGAAACCCCTCCGACGCTCAAGTCAGACGTGCTGATCATATAAATAGTCCAGAGAATACGTATTGTAGTATTGCTCAGTTAATAGGACGTACCTCAATAAAATGAGTAAAACCTCTATTTATATGTCATTTATTGGGTTGGGTTTGTTTTGCTGGGCCCAAGCCTTACTTGAAGGTGTTTGGGCCTCGGTGATATTAGTCTTCGATATTGGGCTCGTAGCCCAGTAGGTAAAGAAATTGTAGGCCCATTGGGTTGGCCCAATTAGGCATATCATATATATATATATATATATATATATATATATAATATATATATATATATATGTGTGTGTGTGTGTGTGTGTGTGTGTGTGTGTGTGTGTTATTTTAATTAAAACTTCGCAATACATACATATTTTTGCAATGTCTTGTGAACCTAAATTTTAGTTTGCCCCCCCTACGTTTTAATCCTGGTTCCGCCTCTGCCAACAAGACAACTTGTGACTGTGGTTTTCCTGTATTCTCGCAAAACTGTTTGATTCATATTAATGAAATTTATCTTTTTGGCATTCTATATTTGTTATCCTATGCAAAAAAGTAGATTAGTCCTAATGATTTACTCTATTGATTTGAATTGATTTTAGAATCGTGAGATAATTAAAGTTTATGTAATAACGAGGATATAAATATTGATATATATATATATATATATATATATAAAAGTAATGTAACTGTTAAACCAGTTTCTACTCGATGGGTTACGTCAATGTAACACCGCGCATTTTCACAAGCATTTATATAGGATTTGAATATATAATAAATACGTACGAATGTACTTGTATTTCATGAATCAAGTGGTAATGTATATGCTCTCTACGTGTTTATGTGATATATGTACATTCTAGTAATTATTTTAGAACTAGACGTCATTGTTTTATTAATTGATTAAGTGATTTTCAATAATGTGAGTAAATGAATTACGTGACAGACCTATTTTATGAACTCCATGTATTATGTGAATGATAATTAAGTATATGACATAATTAGAATAAGTAATTCATATTAACTGAGTTGGGGTTGTCTAGGGTCCGAGAGGGGTTGTACTACTCGGACCCAAACAATTTAATCTGGTGTATAGAAAATATTTAGTAAAAATTTATAGTCGTTGATTTAAAGTACGAACTAGTACGATCCAGTACGAACCTATGAATTTATAAATTAAAGTACGAACCCAGTAAAAATAGATCATACAAAGGTCGTACTCCATCGTACTTCATGTAAAATTACATTATTAACCTTACATTATTAAACCAGAGAATTAAAAGTAGGGTTAACTGTACTTTGCCCCTAACTTTGGTCATTTTTGCTCTTTACCCCCCAAATAAAAAAAAAAATTCTACGATCATACCTCGACTAATTAATTTTGCCCAATTTCACCAATTAACCAATTTTTGACCATAATTTCAATTTTGGCCCCAATTTTGACTCGCCACCACCGGAGACCGCCAGAGACCCACGGTCTCCGGCGTTGACTCTTTTTTTTTTTCAAAACTTTTTTTTTGTCTGAATTTTTTTTCCGGTAGCTCAATCGCAGGGTCTCCGGCTTTGATTATTTGTTTTTTACATTTTGTTTTTTCTAAAAAAAATATTATATTTAATATTAATATATTGACTGTTAAATTACTGTCTCCAACAGTTATTTAACTGTCGGAGAGAGTAATTTAATGTTAATTAACCTTTTTTTTTCTTAAAAAATTATATTAATTAATATTACTATCTTGACTGCTAAATTACTGTCTCCACAGTTATTTAACTGCCGGAGACAGTATTTTAACTGTTAATTGATTTTTTTTTCTTAAAAAAAACATTTTAATTAATATTACTGTCTTGGCTGCTACATTACTGTCTTCAACAGTAATTTAACTGTTAATTGACTTTTTTTTTTGAATTTTTTTTTCTTAAAAAAATATTTTAATTAATATTACTGTCTTAGCTCAAAATTACGGTCTCCAACAGTAATTTAACTGTCTGAGACAATAATATTACTATATTAATCAATTTTATCGTCTTGGCCTGCATTATTGTTGTCTTCGACTGTAATATTATTTTCTTCGACCGTAATATTACTGTCTCAAGCAATAATATCACTACTTGGGACAGTAATATTAGTAATATTACGGTTCGAGAAAATAATATTCATAATATTATTGTCCGAAACAGTAATATTATTGTCTGAAACAGTAATACTATTGTCTGAAACAGTAATACTATTGTATGAGACAGTAATTTAGTAGGCAAGATAGTAATATTAATTAAAATATTTTTGTCTAAGAATTTTTTTCAAAAACGAAATAATAAAAAAGTCAACACCGGAGAGCGGCGGTCAACTGCGGTTGACCGGCCGAAAAAAAAATTCAGAAAAAAAAAGTTTTCAAAAAAAAAAAAATTCAATGTCGGACACCGCCTGCCCGGTCAACGCCGGAAATCTGGCCGGAAAAAAAATTAAGAAAAAAAATTATTTTCTAAATAAATTTTTTTTTTCAAAAAATTATTAAAATGAGAGTTAATGTGATATATTTGTTTAAATTCGGGGTCAATGTGTAATATTAAGGAAGTTAGAGTATAATGGATGAAATTGATAAAAAATATATTATGGAGTGTATATTAGAGTAAAGACATGGTGATGAGTTTATTTGAAAGATTGTTGTTTATGTGGATCAATGTGCATTTAAATCCATTGTCATGGCCCTAATTATTAATTGTTACTTAAGTTTTAGTTATAGGGGTTTTTATGTAATTTCACTTATAAGGTAGGTATCGTACTTTTTTTATGGGATTCGTACAAATCATACGTGTCACATTTTTATTGGTTGATTTTCAATCGTTTGGGTCCGATTAGTACAACCCTCTCGGACCCTAGACAACTCCAACTGAGTTTGTATATAAATGATTTAATAAATTATGTATATATGTCTTATGTGTCGTGTGTATGGGGTGCTTAAATGAATTACATTATGCATCACTAATATATGTTTATATATATATATATATATATATATATATATATATATATATATATATGTATATAAGTTTTGTGTGCGCATGTGCTTGTGTTTTGTGAATGAGCCGTGTGTCTAAGTGGTGTGTGTTGGGTTTGTGGTGTGTGTCCAAGTGTCAAGTTTCTCCGGGGCATTTTTTTTCTATAATAATTAATAACCCAACTTTTTTGAAAAATGGGGGGTTTTTGAGATTATTTCAAAACTAAAATAAAGCGTTATTTTGAATAACGCCTTATAACAGCCGTTGGATTGGAATTTGATCAACGTTCCACTGTCCAGTTATGTCTTCTAAATCGAACGGCCAGATTTAAACTGGACGATTTGACGGCTCTTAAAAGACGACATTTGAAATGACAACCATTGACCTACCACACAGGATCACACGTCACTCACAATGACGCCTTTTAAGAGCCGTTGATTTCGTTTATATCAAACGGCTGGAATTCAGCTGATTTTTATTAATTTTGCTTAATTCTTTTTGTTGTTGTTAAATTGTAATACTTTGTTGAACTTTAATTTTAATTTAGTTATATGTTGTAATTTAAATTTTGTCCTTCATTTATTTATGTAATTTGCGTTATATTTAACTATAAACTAATACAAAATTAATTAATTAACCTAACAAAATAATTAATATTTTCTTGCATAATTTCTAAATAAAGAACTATTTTGTCAATTATATTACTTTTTTAAAATTTATATTTTATTAAATAAAAGAAATAAAATGCCTAATTATTAGGAAAAAAAATTCTCTTCAAATACTTTAATTTTTTTAATTTTTTTTCTCTCCACATCCATAAAATCTTGATCTTCCAAATGTTCGTAGTGACATCGAACCCAATGTGGCACCGGAGGTCACCGTCATTGGTGATATTATTATTGTATTTTATGTTGGTTAATTATTAAAACTTTTTAGTATTTTAGTTATTCAATTAAAATAAATTAAATAAACTAAAGAATTTGGAGAGAAAAAATAAATTCCTAATAATTAAGCATTTTATTATTTTTATTTAATAAAATATAAACTTTTAAAAAAATATCATAATTGAAAAAAATATTTCTTTATTTATAACTTATGCTAGAAAATATTAATTATTTTGTTAGGTTAATTAATTAATTTTGTATTATTTTATAGTTTTTTGTTTTTTTGGCCGAAAAAACATTATTATTCCATTATAATCGAAAGACTTGGGGCCTCGTTAAAAACCTTATGGGGCCTACATAAGGTAAAAAAGTACCCCTACAATGGTAATAAAAAGTTTGGGGCAACCCTAACCTTTCTAATACAAAAAGGCCCTAAAATGGGGCTAAAATGAAATAAACTATAAAGCTGCCTATAAAGCTAAAAAAACGAAAATAACAGAATTGCCCCCATTTGTTGCCACTAATGTAATTATCCAAAATATCTTCTTTGCCAACTTCCATTATCACCCGTCGAACAGTGCTCTTCCTATTCACCATCATTATCACAATATTTGCTGGAATTGCTAGAATGACCCCAACCCAAGCTGCTAGTGAAAATGCATTTGCTCGCCAATTTCACCAGCCTGCCTTGCTTTTAATTTGCGCCCTCATTTGCTTCTTGAAAATCTACGAAACTGAGGAATTCCAATCCTATCGTGAAGTAATAAAGGTCTAATACAACGAGCTAGGAAGTTCGTTTGCAACTGTAGATAGCTTCCTCTCTTCGTGCTCATGAGCCAACTTAGCTAGCCCATCTACCACCCGATTACCCTCTCGATAAATATGCATCACGTGCCAATCGTCCTTGAGAAGTCTTCTAATGCCTCTGATGACGTAAATTAACTCCCATGCAACTGTGGCTTTATGATAAATCATGTCGATAACTAATTTGGAATCTGACTCTACTTTAACCTGTGTAAAACCCATCTCTTGACAAATTCGCAACCTATCGAGAATTGTCTGGGCTTCTGCAAGAATGTGAGTACCTTGACCGTAAAAAATAGAAATGCCTCGAATAAAAGATCCATTGTGAGTCCGAATTAACCCACCACCGGAACATTCATCCCCTTTTCCTGAGCCATCCACGTTGACCTTGACTTGAAGTGGATTTGGAGGGTTCCACTTTATCCAGCTGCCCCTAGTCAATGGAGGTGACTTAACCTCCAAATTTAATTGTTGGATTATGAGACAACCCATCGTTTTCATTGGGTGTTTTCCCACGAAAGCATCATTCAAAGCTCGAAGATGTGAGAATATACTTCGAGTAATAGTGGTCGTATTCATCGGAGTATTCTCGAAGATTGCCATGCACCGAATTTTCCAGATCTCCCAACAACCGAACATGAGAGTACCAAGCTCCATAAAACCGTCTTGAGTGTTAATACTAGCTTCAACCATCCAAACTTCAACTAGATGCTGCATAGACCCATAAACATAAGGTTTCTGCCAAATCCTTGCGTAATTACTCCAAACGCCACGAGCAATATCCGACTGAATGAATAAACGAGAAAGACTTTCTTGCTTGGGAGCAGCACAACACCGACATTTGGATGGAGTCATGCAACCCCTCCTTCGAAGAACCAAGTCCACCGGGATCGCTCCATATGACAGTTTCCAGAAAAAATGCACCTATGTTATATGGAATTTTAGGATGCCAATTTTTTTTCGCCTAAGGATTCGGAGAAGCTTTGGAAAGGATCAAGTCCCACTAGTCAGCCACATTGAAATTCCCAGAAATCGATTTTGTGAAGATTTATCTATCCTCAACCCTCTCATCCAGCTCAATAAGATCAAAGATCATTTGTTGCTCCGGCTGCAGTTGAGGAGTAAATTGTTGCGGCTGTTCCTTAGCCTCCCTGAAAGAGAGAGATTGAGTTTCATCAAGACCTTCGTCAATCCAACGATCTCTCCAAAAACCGATATCCCCTTTTCCCACGATCCATCTACTATAATTCTCCAAGAGTTGTAGATGCGGGAATAATTCTCGCCACAGTAAAGAGTCATGAGCTGGAATTTGGCTTTGAAAGTCATACCCGGCCGTATTATTTTATAGTTAGGTATAAAACAAATTACCTAAATAAATGAGGGAAAAAATTTAAATTACAACATATAATTAAATTAAAATTAAAGGTCAACTAAGTATTACAATTTAACAACAACAAAAAGAATTATGGAAAATTTAAAAAAAAAATCAGCTCAAAACCAGTCGTTTGATATGAACGAAATCAACGGATCTTAAAAGGCGTCATTGTGAGTGATGTGTTGATCTTGCGGCAGGTCAAATGCTGTCATTTCAAATGACGCCTTCTAAGAGCCGTCGGATCGTCTAGTTTAAATCTGGCCATTCGATTTAGAAGACAAAAGGGGACGGTGGGCCGTGGATCAAAGTCCAATCCGACGGCCGTTATTATGCGTTATTCAAAATAACGTTTTATTGTAGTTCTGAAATAATCCCAAAAACCACCCCATTTTTCAAAATAGTTGGGCGGATTATTGTAGAAAAAAAAATGGCCCAAGTTCCTCCATAATTGCTATCTACACGCTCTTTTCTTCTATATTACAAGGAAGTCCATATACTCTCCTATAAATAGCCTTTTCTTCACCATTTTCAGCACACAAACATCAGTAAAAAAATCTCTCGCTCTCTCCTCTCCCATTGGCCAAACATTCTTCAAGTGGAACAAATTCATCTTCCACCAACTCTATATTTCATAAAAGTTCTTCTTTCTCTCTTCTAAAATCCTTAAAAAATACCTATTTTCCCTAATTTCGAGATTCTCCTAATACCTTCAAATAAAAAGCCATATATATAATATCTCAAAACTCAGCTCCAAAGCTATCCAATACCATCCATGTCGACACCCACCCCTAAAATTTCCATAGGGGTGAGCAGTGGCGGATCTACCTATGGTCTAGGGTGTGCAGTTGCACACCCTTGATTTTAAGTAATTAGTACTTTTATACATAAGTTGATAAATAAAGGCTATTGGTTGAGGTGGTAAAGTTAGACTTTTACTCACTAATAGGTCGTGGGTTCGATACCCCACCCTCTCAAAATTTGATTATTATTCAAATTTCTAACATTTTTCTTCTTTTTTCTCTTTAAATATTTTCACAATTCACCTAAAATTGTAAATTTTTGGTCCACTATTTTTATAAAGTGATATGTTTTATGTGTAGAATCATAGAATCTATAAATTTAGGATCTAGATATAAAACATTAATGAATTTCAGATTTTCAGCCACGAAGTTTACTGCATGTTTCACAAATGATCTATTTTTCATAAATCACGAAATTTTTTGGGTAACTAAATATTTTTGTTTTATTTAAGTTGATATATGACGAGCGTACATCGGATTTTATATGATTAAGTTATGAATTGCTTACTAAACCTGCACAGTTTTTGAGTAAGCTAAAGATTTGCATTTAAAATGTTTATAAAGTGATATGTTTTATGTGTAGAATCATAGAATCTATAAATTTAGGATCTAGATATAAAACATTAATGAATTTCAGATTTTCAGCCACGAAGTTTACTGCATGTTTCACAAATGATCTATTTTTCATAAATCACGAAATTTTTTGGGTAACTAAATATTTTTGTTTTATTTAAGTTGATATATGACAAGCGTACATCGGATTTTATATGATTAAGTTATGAATTGCTTACTAAACCTGCACAATTTTTGAGTAAGCTAAAGATTTGCATTTAAAATGAATGTTTCTACTCTGATTTCACTTGGAATAGATTTATAACTTATAAAACTAGCTTTCTAAAAAGTTTACAGTGTTTTATGAAAGGGATAATTTATTGAGTGTTTTTAAAGTGACTGGTTCTGTATTTGAAATTGTGACCATACTACTGTACCGTTTTAATAGTTCTCTTAATCGAATAATTATTTTAGAAAACTATTTTAATGGAGATTTTTACACTCATAAAAGAGAATTATGTTAAAGGTACATAATTTGGGGAGTTACGGTTTAAGAGAAACGGATTTCATAGATAAAGCACCAAAACTATCAAATTTTATAAAATACAAAGAGATGTTTGAAGGAATGATTTAAATCTTTGAGGTGAACTTAGTAGACAAATTGAACATAGATTAATTTAGTAAGAGTATTAAGTTTATGTATATATATTAAGTGTATTTTAAATGTTCATTAAATTTTTACGTGCTACTACCTATATGTTTCGATTAATTGAATTAGGTGAAATTCATTATATTTATGTGAACTAATGTGTGTGCATAAACGTGTATGTGTTTGTGTAATATATGATGATTTAATTAGTCTATGCGATAATACGTGACTGATAGTGTTTGTGTTATTATATTATGACACACTTCATCGATATTTATGGATAGTGATTGAATTATGGTCTTAGTGTTCATGTCCATGTATATCACGTGTTTTAAAAATTGGAAATTAATGGAATGTTTGAGTGAACAAATCAGATACGGTGGGCCGGTATCCATCTAGGATAGAAAAGGTGGGTAGCTCCCACCAAGAAACGGGCTCGAAACGCTTTACAGTTTATTGCTTGAGCACATAAATTAATTTTCCACGGATCTGGTAAAATGGAAAAGGAAATTTTAACATGCATTGCATTCAAGGACATTTAAGTGTGATTTATGTGGAAGAGGTGTGTTTTTGTGACGTATGTGTGGTCCTATATTAACTAATGTTTAGATGGTTACATTGAGTTTTGATAAGGATCTTGTTGCACTACATTTATAGGCGTAAAGTATTAAATTGATACTTCAGGGACTTTATGTCTGTAAGTCACACAAGGATTTTGTATCCGTATATTACAAAAGGGACTGTGTATCCACTATATAAAGGTTGAGGTACACGGTATTATATGTTTATCTGTAGAACTATATGTTATGTGATTCCGTAATCACCTATGATAATATTCCATGCTTCATTGTTCTTAGCTTTAAAGAATAAACGTAATGTATTTGTATGTGGGGATATGTGCTTTCACGTATATGATAGAATATCTTGATCTAGAGGAATAAATTGAATATAGAATACATATAAGCATTAGGCTTATCTCTATACGCAATAACATAGAGACGAAGACTTTAGGGCTCCTTTAGGACGTGAGTGACACGTTGAGAGAGGCGTGAGTATTGTTAGACCAGAAGTTATTACTGAGCCGGTGGTTGGGCTCACGCTTTACGCGAATTCCTTTTTCATGATCTTGAAGTAATCCGAATGTACAACATAGCAGAGTTTGAGGAATCACGAACATTGATGCCTTGCATGTCTTACCCGGATTTCGTAAAATATTATGTTTTCACTTTCACTTTTAAAAAGGTCTTATATAAAAATAGAGATTTTTATAATTTTAATTTTATACTAGTCTATTAAACGGGGTTCTGTAAATAAATTTTATTTTCTTTCCGCTGTCTTACAAGTTTTTTTCTAAACTCCAATGATGTTTTAGGTGGCACTATTTATGAAAATCGTAACTTTGAGTTGTGGGTTATATTTAAAGTAAATGAAAATACTTTGATAAATTCTAAATTGGTTTTCTCAAAATTCAAATTGAATCCGAAATTTTTAATATAGTTTATTTTTTCAATCGTAGAGTAAAATATATGTTGTTTAAATAAATTTCATGGAGGGTGTTACAAGGTGGCATTAGAGCAGTGTTTAATACACTGGATTCCTATTTACGGTTCAAGACACATGTGATCCTCCTCCAGTTCCAAGCCTAAGTCATGAGGTATGATTCATATTTAATTTAGACTTATCCGAATTAGAGAACTTAGAATTTTATATATGTTTGTCACTATACTCATTGCTAGTATCTCGAGTTGATCCTATAAAGATTTACAATTTCCTAATTGTGCATATGTGATGGTAAAGAGAAGATAGTGTTGGCGCCAAATTTCTGTTAGTGAAGATTGAAGAAATCCGCCATACGTGGAAATTAAAGATTGGCAAAGATTTGTTTTCCATGTTTATTTTGGAATTACTTAGAGTCCTATTCTTGTAATATTGTTATTAGGACTTAGATTTATTTCCATGTATTATATCTAGTTAGGTATCTTTTGTACTTATCAAGAATAGAAGTAAAAATCGACTAGGATTCTATTATCTAGTTAAATCGATTTTTTAGGACTCAAGTTAGTTTTAGGGTGGTGAATTTCGTGCATATATAAGGCCCTCAACCTCATATGAGTCCCATGGAGCTTTAATCAAAAATCCCAGCATAAAGGCTTTGAAGGGTGCAGCCGGTGCTGCTGCCTTGTTTGCACGTCAGGTGTGGCAACAGGACATGTTTCTTCTACCAGGCCATAAAGAAGATCGGCGTTTCAGGAGAAGTGCTTAAAAGATCTCGGGAGAGGTCGATCCGCCGTTTGAAGGGAGTTCAACATTGGAAGGAGTCCATGAGTGCGGATGGAGGAATTGCTTTGATTATCAACAAGTTCGAGTTGTGTGCAAGAAAGACGTATAACATAAAGAGAGAGTCTTTAGTGTTCTTATTAAGTCCTATATTGTACACTTAAATCTAAACTAGTTTGCAAGTCCTCGTGGATGTAGGGTA